AGACCTCCCCAACAAATGAGGACAATAACCTGTAGTGACGAGGCTGCGCCGTGGAGCGGGAGCAATCATGACCTGGGAACTGGCTCACTCCCCTCCAGTGATGACAGCAATAACTTCCCCAGAACCCCAAGAACAAGAACAGGACTGAGATGGCGGTCAACCAGGCCACACTCGGCCCCTGGCACACCCGGTGACCCTGTCCGAATTCTTTGTCTATTTGAAGCTAAAGCTCGTGTCTGTACCCCGAAGATGGCTGAAGGAGGACTGAATGCTTACTGTGCCTCCTCCTGCACGTCCCAGGCTGCGTAACAATCTCCTTTCTGTGCCTTCACCAGGCCCCATTTGGCCCATAGGGGCAGGTGCTGCACCTGACATGTGGAAGCCTAGGAGTTTGGGCCCGGGGTCCAAAACTCCACTTTCAGTATAGCTGAGGCAAAGCTTTTACTGCACTGATCTCACTAAGCCTGGTGCAGTGGGCATAAATAGCATTTTCACTGAGGAAAAGTGACCGTCAGTACACGTCACTTGCCTAAGTCTGCATGTAAGAAGTGATGGACTAAAACTCCAAGTCCTGATTGCAAGTGTCCTTCATCAGCCCCACAGAACCACAGACCCAGCTCTGGTTCAAATCAGAAACAGAAACAAAAGGATTGCCAAATAAAGATGAGGGGCAGTCTAAAGGTAACGGAATGCGTCACCACTTCAACTTAATCCGAGAGACTTTGGAATCAGTGTGAGAAATTCCTACCTGAGATGACCTTCTGACATTTAAAGATGGTTGGGATCTTTTTTGTCATTGTTGTTTTTGTTTGTTTGTTTTCAAACAGTCTTGCTATGTACCCCAGACTGGTCTTGAACTCACAATTCTCCGCTCTCTACGACCCCCCCCCCCACCAAGGCTGAGATTAAAGCAGTGAACCACCACACCTGACAGGTCTTCACATTTTAACTACTAGCATATCTGCAAAATGATGGCCTTGCCCTTGAGCCTTCCACCTCAGGAAGATCAGGGAAGGAAGGAGGGACCTTACCCCACCCACCATCTCTAGGGAAAGCTGTACTTCTCCTGTGCAACTGGGCGGTAGGCATCAGGATTCTGCCTGTGGCAATAGAAGCCTGGTGCTGCAATAATTTCTTAATCTTGAGCACTAGAAATGGTAGGAAATAAGTTCAGCACTTGTTTTCTGTGCCTGCCCAGAGTTCAGCACTTGTTTTCTGTGCCTGCCCAGAGGTGCTGCAAGAGAGCTGAGACCTGGTGGCAGAAAGGGGCCACCCTGGAGAGCTAGTGCAGAAAGAAGAGCTACAGGAGAAAGACTGGGTGGCTGGAGCCTCTACCAGGCAGAGGGGCTATGGCCAGGAGAGACCGTGCAAACACACCTGCAGGTCTGGATTTCATGAAGCAAAATGGAAAAGACTTGGGGGCTGCAGGATGAGAGCCATGAACAAGGCCACCTGAGTTGAGGCACTACAGGCTCCAGCACTGCCCAGCTCTGCCAGTGTACCTGCCAAGTTCTAATCTCTGCACTTGACACAGCTGCATCTGAACCACACTCCTTCCTCCTGCCCTTCTCACAGAGCTAACCTGCACAGCCCTTGAGCTCAGCTACGTGGCAGGAATGTCTTTGGACCTCCCCATCAGCTTGGCTTCCTCTCTGACACATCCCCACCCCAACCCTGGAGACTGGGCAGTGATCGGCATGATGACTGGCTTAATGTTGGGCTTCTTCATTACACCTCTGTGAGGGCAGAAACACACTACTCTTATTTCCAAAATTTATGGCAAACCTCACACTGTACCTGACATATTAAGGAATAAATTCAGTATCTGTGGAACGAATAACTAATGGAGCTTCACATTGGACTGCATCCCACACATACATACACACATGCACACAAACAATTTTAAAAATCCAGCATCCTGAAAAAGTAAATGAACTTAGTCAGGGGTCATTCAATGTAAAAATATTTAAAATGTAAGATAAAATGTGTCTTGGGGATAACCTTATCAAATCTTCTCTCTTATAAATGAGAAGACCAGAGTATCAAGAGACTAAAGTAATGAAGTGATTCGACTTCGATTGTAAGTTGGCCAATATGATTAATTAATGACGTGCTAGCCCCACTGGAAATTAAAACTCTATTTCAGATTCTGTGAGTCACAGCCACAGTCACTGCCAGACCACTGGACAACTTCAGGCAAATGAGAGGCAGGTGCCACTCCTCCGAGTGTCCCCAGCCCCAGGCTGAGGCTCTGGGCTTGGTGAACAGGTGTGATCTAGACTTCAGCACCGCCTTGTTCCCCAGGCCAAGGGGACAGCCTGCAGAGTCACAGTGGCGAACTTCCTGTGTGGCAGCATGGCATTGCTGCACATGAACAGCTAGGGTGTGTGTGTGTGTCTGTGTGTGTGTGTGTGTGTGTGTGTGTATAGAGATACAATCTTTTTACCCAACAAGGATGTCTTTTTGTTTTTTCCATAGTACTAAGGAAATAACTCCAAAACAAATGCAACATATTAAATAATAATGATTAATCAATTTCTCCATTTTTATGCATCAAAGACAAAGAATTTAATGTGCAATAGAATAGGTTCTAGAAATTCTTCAGCAGATCTACACACCCATCAGGAGCTTCCAATCACCACGAGATAACCAGCGTAAGTAGGCTGAGATAAAAGCATTCCGGTCAAAGGAAGGAAATGTTTTTATTGCTCTGGACAACTTTATTACAGTTTTGAAGAGTTCCCAGTCATTGGCCAAGGCAGCAGAGCTCATGGGAAATGTCCAGTGGTCTGATTAGACCCTGGATGGGGACTAAAGACCTGGTTTTACTGGTGGGACTGGGCTGATTCACTAGGCAAAGATAAGGGGGCATTCCATGGGTGATGAGGAGAATCACACCTCACCACGCAGGGAGCCAGCCTGCCACGGCCCACAGGAGTCTGGTAGCCAAGATGGCGCCTGTCCCTCCAGTGAGATATTTCCCAGCAATGCTCTCCCCCTGCTCTTGAACATAAGTCACAATGAGTCTCAGGAACTCCATGTCTGCATTCCATCAGATCAGCAGCTCGCCATGGTGGTGGTCTTTATACTTTTATCAGCCCAAAGCTTGCAGTTAGATAGGTTTATTATCATGTCAGAAATTAAAGCTGAGAATCATCCAAGTATTTATAACATTAGGACTGGAGGCATGGCTCAAACCGTAGCACCCCTGCCTACCAAGCATGAAGCCCAGAGTTCAAACCCCAGTACTGCCAGGTGCTAGTGGCTCAAGCCTGTAATCCTAGCTACTTGGGAGACTGAAATCAGAAGGATCAAGGTTCGAGGGCATCCCAGGCAAAAGGGCAAATAGTTCGTGAGAGCCCCCCATCTCCAAAAAATTAATCAGAGCAAAATGGACTGGAAGTGTGGTTCAAGCAGTAGAGGGCCTGCTTTGTGAGCACTAAGTCCTGAGTTCAAACTCCAGTCCTACCAAAAAATCGAATAAACAAAACCTAGCACCAAAAACTAAATAAGTAAATAAATAATAACACCCTAGTATTATTGAGAGTTTTGACCTTGCAAATTCCTTGCAGGAGTCTCCAGAGACCACACTTTATGAGAACTTTGTCCTTGGAGCATCATTAAAGGTAGCTCTCATCTCCAGGGCTCCAAACCCAGCTCTCAGTGTTTCCTTTACTACCCTGTTTCCCCTTGTAAACCAGCGTCTCCAGCTTCCGCATTCCTCCCCAGTCTCAGCTTGCTGGAGTGCTGACTGCAGAGCATCAACGCCCTCTGGTCCCTTTGCTGGCAGAAGTCAAACCCAAGCTAATGCTTGGTCACTTGTCAGCCCTCCCACCACCCCAAGACGGTCTGCCTTTTCATGTCCTGTTCTTCAAGAGTTAATATGCTTACAAGCAAGCGGGTACACTACCCCCTAAACCGTGGAGCTGTATATATACATATATTATGTGTATTTCGACATATTTTGCTTCCTTGATAATCTCGTGGGCTTTATTTTATGCCAAAGGAGCACCCTGGGCAATCAACCAGAAAGAGTGAGTGTTCTTTGTGGGCGGCCACTAAGGACTCATTCTTTAGGCAAAGCTGACCAGCTCCACGTGGGTGTTGTCCACGGCTATCTGCCCAGGCCAGGGCCAGAGGACAGCCATTCCGTGGACAGGACAGGCCCCAGCCGCTGCTCGTGCAGTCCCCCACCCCCAGCTCCCCCCACTTCTGGAATGCGCACACAGTTATATGAAATCCACATGGTGCGGAAGGGAAAGGCAGAAAGGGCTTGACCAAGTTGACAGCGCGCCCAGGCCGGGCTAGGACTGGGGACGCTCCAGAGAGCTAAAGGTCGCCTGGCCCCGCTCCTCATCTGGGGCCCCCGGGGTGACAATGCTCGGCCACAGGAAACCGGATCACCGGGGCGCCCTGCGTTCTCAGTCCTGACCTCTGGACTCTGAAGCAATTAGAGGGCAGAAGCACTGTCACGACGTGTCCAGATCCACACGCACATGGCGGGGGCTGTCGGCTGACTTCGCGGGCGGACAGCGGCTTTGGCTGTCCTTCCCGATCCGACATCCGCAGAGTCCCGGGGTGCGCGCGGGCTGAGACCCAACGCTGGCCGTGGCCCTGCGGAGGCTCGGAGCCCTACTTGACCCCCCCGGAAGGAGGCGAGGACAAAGGCGAGCATGGACCGACCCCCCCACCTTCCACTGGCGGCGATGCAACCCGAGCGACGGGGATGAAACGCTCCCCGGGGTCCCGGCAGGGCGCGCGCGGAGTGGGGCAGACCCCGGCAAGCTGGAACCGCCCGAGACCCGAGCGCTCCATGGATGACAGCGACGGGCGGCGTGGGGACACCACTGCGGCCAGGCAGAAGCTGGAGACCCCCATGGACGCGCAGACCCAGCCCCGCGCCCGGGTCCCGCCCCGACGCCCACGTCCGTCCGGCTCGGCGGGCGCCCCCGGCCTTCCTGCCGGTCGCCGGCTCGGCGTCCCCTCCCGGCCCCACTCACATAGATCGAGGTGATGTCCGATTCGTCGTAGAAGTGGAGCGCCCCGCTCAGCTCCAGGGCGGAGGACACCTGGTCGTCCCCGGCCTCCAGCTCCAGGTCCCCCTGTCCCGGGCCGAAGGGAAAGAGCTCCTGGCGGCTCAGGCAGCCCCCGGACCCCGCCAGCAGCAGCTGCAGCAGCAGCGCCCGGGTCCACGCGGCCCCGCTCCGGCTACTCGCGGCCAGCATGGTCCCGAACTGAGGTCCCGCACGCCCGCGCTCGGCGGCCCCGGCGGAGGGAGGCGGGGATGTAACCGGACGCCCCTCGGCGGCCCCACCCCGGGAAATAGGGGAGGGGAGCCGAGGGGAGATGGGGGCCCCGCCCCGTCCACCCCGCACGCGCCCGCCGCGGCCAATGGCCACGAGGGGGCGAGGGGCGATGCCGAGTCTGGGACTGCGCCCTCGACCCTAGGGAGCAGTGGACGTTGGTGCCCGCGATTCCTAAAGTCAGTCAACGGTGGGCTCCTCTGTCCAGGGGGGAGGAGGGAGCAGAGCCGGTGACTGCGCTCTGCATTGTCCCGAGGCCCGGCTAACTCGTAGACTGCAGGCGATCAGGCAGCCTGCGCTCGGGATTGGGACGGTTTGCAAATGACCTGGGAATTCGCAAAGGGACCACGCTCCCGTGCTGGGCCACCCATTCATTTAGCAATTTTTTAAATTTTTTGGTGGGACTGAGGTTTGAACTCAGGGCTTTGCGCTGGCAACATTGGCGCTTTACACTTGCTCCACACCTCTTGGTCATTTTACTCTGGTTTGTTTGGAAATGCGTAGGATCACGAACTATTCGCCCAGGCTGGCCTCGAACTGTGATCGTCCTGATCTCAACCTCCCAAGTAGTTAGGATTACAGGCCCTGTGCCCTAGGTACCCGGCTCATTCAGCATTTGAATTTGAGTGCCTGCTCCTGGACTCGTTAATGTTGAGAAAGCGGGTCCCAACCTTCCGAGTGTGCAGTGCAAGTCAGTGTTAGGCTGGGTGGGGCCCCTGTAGGGCTGGCTTGGAAAGTTTGTCTGGCATGGTAGGAATCCAACCAGGTCTTCCGGGAAGGAATGCAATTTTACTTGGAGTTGGAGAAGGGTAGTTAGTTCTGGAAGGTGGAGGGCGTGAACTCAAGGGACCACCCCCCACCTCAGCCAAGAATTTGGGAGGGATATGTCCAAGCAAAGTCTTGAATAACAAATCCAGGAATTGGAGCACTCTCTAAGACTCTGAGAAGACCTGTGAAAAGTTCTGGGTGAAAGGAGATAAGTGATTTCAGTGATAGCCTGAAGAATCAGCTCATCTTTAATTTGGCACTAAATTGAAAGCAGGGGCAGGTCATTGGAGCGCCATTGGGGGAGGGGGGCAGGGGAGAAAGGAAGAGGAGGAAATGGACAAGAAAGGAATCTAGTAAACACTGCAATGAGGGAAGGAATAAGACCTGAAGACAAATTTGACAGTTGAGGTGGAGAAATTCAAATTGGGCTCAAGGTTTTGCCCCTGGAGGGTTGGAAAATCAGGGTGGGTTCGGAGGGCAAAACCAGGACCTGGGGGCAGCCCTGGCTGTAGCTGTTCAGGATGGGAGTGCTAAGCTGACAAAAACAGGAAAAAAAAAAAAAGAAAAGGCAACTGAAACACACCCAGGCAGAAGGGGTTTTGTCTGCACGGGACACCTTTTCTTTTCTTTTAAACCCATTGGCCATCAGAAGCAATGTGTGTCAGGTAGTGGCTTAGACACCCAGTGTTCTACAGGTATTAATTCTTGCATCTGTAATAACCCTAGGAGACAGAGACTGCTCTGTTTTACAGAAGGGGACAAAGAGACACAGAGTCTAAATGTCTCTGCTAAGACCACACAGCTGGGAGCCTGCGGTGACCCAAGGTGCTTCGGCTACACAAACCCATTTTTATTTATTCATTTATTTCTTCACAGTGCTGGGATGGGACCAGGGCCTGGCACATGCTAAGTGCTCTACCACTGTGCTACAGCCCCCAGCAGCTTGGTCCCCTGCCTTTAACCACATTAAGTGGCCTCTGTGTCACTTCATTTTTCCCCTTGTTAAAGAATGACTAATGTGGCCATTGTGAAAGCCAGCATGGCAGCTCTGGGTCCCTGTCCTTCTTCCCATATGTGCTGCTGGCTCTGCTCCATGCCATCCTTGTCTGGGCTTCTGGGCCCCAGCACCACCCCTTCTTCTCCCTCTAGTTCACCTGCACACACAGCCTGTACCTTATCCAGCCCTGTAGATGGGGGGACCTGAGCTTGCCAGGCTTCACCCCCACCCACAACTATTTCTCCTTAACCCCCACCCCACCGTCATCACACATCAGAGCTGTCCCCAAATGCCATCTGTGCCTGGGATGCTTTCACCCTTCTCACGAATTCGCTCCCTTTTTGGTGCTCAGACAGCTGCTGAGGCTCCCATTGGTCGGTGGAGTTTTCCTGGAGCAGAGCGGCTCCTGCCCGCTGGTCCTGCACAGTCCCTGGCATCCAGCCTGGACAAGGCCCAGCCCATTACTAGCTGTATAAGCATGGGCTGATTTCAAAGTCGTTGCATCTTTATTTGCATGGGCTACTCATGCTTGTGAGGATTAAATAAGGTGATCCATGCAACTGGGCACAGAGTCAGCACAAAGCACATATTCAGACATTATCTAAATGTACAGTTTTTGTGGCTCTCAGTACTTTGACATCCACTGAGAACACACTGCGAGTCAGACATTGTACTAGGATTTAAAATACCACACCCATTAAAGGCATAGCTCCTTTTGCAGTGTATTGGGAGAGACAGACAGAGGACACAAGAACTCAGTGTGGCCGGGCGCCGGTGGCTCATACCTATAATCCTAGCTACTCAGGAGGCAGAGATCAGGAGGATCATGGTTCAAAGTCAGCCTCAAGCAAATAGTTTGTGAGACCCATCTTGGAAAAAAAAAAAAAAAACCTTCACAAAAAAGGGCTGGTGGAGTGTTTTCAAGGTGTAGATTTGAGTACCCCAGTACTGCAAAAAAAGAACTCATTGTGATGCCTTGACAGATACAGAAGGACACGAAAGTTGCCCTTTGGTGGAGTCTTGCTCTGCCAAGTGATTTATGGAGCAATGAGTTTAATATTGATGTAATACACAAGCTGGGGGAGCCGCTGTGGATCTGGGAGCAGATCTGCAGGTATCAGATGACTCACCTGGCTTCACATGGCTAATGGAAGAGCTAGGACTCGAACCCCACTCTGCCTGACACCAAAGCTGACACTGTGTCTGCCTTTCTATGGCAAGGCAGGGTTGCTGTGATGGAAGCAGAAACCTTGTTTCCACTCGGGAGATAGGCTGGCTCACTGTTTAGACATAACGTCTCCGCTGTATTTATGGAGATGTTCCCTTAACTTGTCAGGTCTGGCCTGTGTAAGCCTAGCGTATCCTATAAACTTGCTGTCATCTAGTTATAAGCCAGTGCTCAGAGCCTGCTCCTTTCAGGAGGTTATATTGATGGTGCGTCTCCCACCAGGACAGTTGGGCTGTGTCACAACAGAGTGCTTCATTTCTTCTTGTGCACTGGACATTTATACTAATGTACCTTTTTCTCTGGCAGTTTCCTGTGACTTGTCCCAGATGTAAAAGGACATGTTTTCCCACTGTTTTTCTAAATTCAAAGAACTCAGCCCAAGGCATCAAATAAAAGTTAATTGTTTAAGACTGCAGTAGTACTTTAAAGAGTTATTCAAACCTGTAATTGCCGGCGCTAGTGGCTCACACCTGTAAGCCTAGCTATTCGGGAGGCAGAGATCACGAGGATCGCAGTTCAAAGCCAGCCCAGGCAAATAGTTCCACAAGAACCTCTGCAAAAAACCTTTTAGAGAAATAGGACTGCTGGAGTGGCTCAAGGTGAAGGCCCTGAATTCAAGCCCCAGTACCACAGGGAAAAAACCAAAACACAAAACTGTAATCCCAGTTACTCAGGGATGGAGGCAGGAGGAACCCTATCTCAAAAACAAAATCCAAACAAAAGGGCTGGGAGGGGCATGGAGAACAGGTATGGGAGGCCCTGGGTTTAATCTCAGACACACACACACACACACACACACACACACACAAGAATCATTTGATATTTGCAGAAGCAGCTACACTAATAATTCCAAGGTGGGGCGGAGGGTGTAGCTCAGTGGGAGAGCATGGGCTTAAGCATTTGTAAGATCCTGAGTTTGATCCCCAGCACCACATACAAAAAAAGAAAATTTAGAAAAAGAAAAAGAATAAATAAATAAATAAATAAAAATAAATAAATAAGCCGGGCCTGGTGGTACACATTTGTAATCCCTACTATGTAGGAGGGTTGCAATCAGAGGTTTGCCTGGGGCAAAAAAAACTCAAGACCTTGTCTGAAAAATAACTAAAGCAAAAAGGCTGGGGGTTGTGACTTAACTGGTAGAGTATCTGCCTACCAAGCTTGAGGTCCTGAATTCAATCCTTAGTGTTATCAAAATAATAATAATAATGTGTTAAAATTAGTTAAATTTTGAAAAGGTGAAGCCTTATTCTTTGAGACATCTGCCTCTCTTTGGCTGCTGTCATCCTGACGAGGCAGGATGACGCTAGGATGCAGGTCTCAGGCTGTGTCTGAGAAGCCAGGAACTCTTCTACCTGGTGGTGGAGAGGACAGTCCAGGTGATCGGGTGGAGGCTAGCTCACCTGCTGCTTCGCCAGGGAGCCTTGTTCTAACCTCACTCTCCTTTCAGGTTTGGCCTCTGACCACTTTGCTCTCCAGCTGTCACAGAGTACCATGTCTCAATTCTAGAGGAACTCCTCCACCTCATGAATACCTTAAACAGCCTGAGCTCAGTTCCGATCTCAGATTAAGATGCCAAACTAAACGGCAAGCGGGGTTTGGTGCTACATTAATTGGGTTTGGTTTGCTCCTTTTGTTTTTTGCGGTCCTGGAGACTGAGCCTCCTGCTTGTGCTTGCCCTTATTTGAGCCATGTCTGCTGTTAGTTTGTTTTCCAGATAAGGTCTGGACAACTTTCCCCTGGGCTGAACTCAGACCGTGATCCTCTACCTCCACCTCCCAAGTAGCTGGGATTACAGGTGTGTGGCACCACGCCCACCTTTAACTTCTAATATTGACATACACCACATGTCATAGTCTGTGTTGCCGTCACAAAATATCTGAGGGCTGGTGGAGTGGCTCAAGTGGTAGAGCACCTGCCCGGGAAGCAGGAGGTCCCAAGTTCAAACCCCAGCACTGCCAAAATACCTGAGACTGGGTACTTTATAAAGAAAAGGGGTTAATCTTGGCTCA